GCACCAACTGATGAAGAGCCATTTAACACTGTACTATAGTGAAAAGGAACCTTTAACATAAAGTATAGGCTGTTTAGAAGACAGGGGTGGAGTTTCTGTGAAACTCTATTGTTGTGTAACGAAGCAGCCAAAGCTCTTATGTTCATTTATATGTGCTTCCTTTTAAAGGTGAGTTTTCTTTCCCACTGTCACTACATGCACGCTCAGTATGAGGAATTGTGGCAAAGGCAAAGACAAAAACAACCTTTCACTGTAGCAACATGTTCATTCAGGCGGAGCGAATGCTGCAAATCAGTGACTGGATCGGTCAGTATGACTCAACTGAATTGTCTTTGCAAAAACTTGTAAACGTTGATTATCTTGGGATTATATGCTGTGAATAGGTACTGCATAAAAGTCTTAATTGAATATGAACTAAATAAAAAATAATCCTTAAGGGAGAAAGATATTTACTTGGGAATCATCTGAGCTTTTCACATGCATTTTTGGTCTGGATATATTAAAGCATAATAAGCCTTATGTCTCAACTGTGAAAGTGTATTGTGACACATAGACAGAGATAATCTGGTGATCTAAGAAACATTATGATACTGATCAATAAGGACAAAAGCTAATAAAACCGTCCTTAGAAGTTAAACGTCTTATAGTCAAATAGATTGTTTGCATATAGAGGAAAAAACATAAGACATTATTACGCCCTCAAGTAGCAGACAACAAACTGAGATGAGAACAATAGGGAGTGTAAAAATCGGTGAAGTCTCAGAGGAACCCAGTGTAACATATAAAACACCCTGAAACTTTTATTACTTTGACTAACATTGTTATTCAGAAGGTATATATGATGTAATGCAAAGGGCAGCACTCCAACAAAGACAAACACAGCCCTTCTGCAGTATTCATAGAACTTTCACTTAAAAATAGGTATAGAGAGAAAAAATGTTTGTAACATGAAACTATTCTTGTTAGAAAAACATTCATTTATTTTTTACAAGTATTAGAGTAATATTTAACAAAGCAATTAAATATGTCTTGTCATTGACCCCATGTTACTCTATAAAAATATTTTGGTCCGATGTGATACTTAAACATGCTTTAAACAACTGCTTTAATTAGCTGCTGGTGGAAACTCATCATAATTAACAGAAATGAAAGCTTGAAAGCATCAATCTTTGGAGTCCTATCCATCAAATGTGTTGCATTTCAATTTAAATATTAAAATAAATTTACTTTTTACTAACATTTGAATTTGTTTGTTTCCACTTTGATTCCTTCTTGAGCTATGATTGTAGTAATGCTGTTTTAGGCGTAGCCTGCTGGAGGACCAATTTTCATCATTCTGCTTCATTCTACTCCTATTCCCCAATTTTGCATTATTTGATATTTCAACTTGTAACTTCATTTTTTCTCATGAGTGTTTTTTTTTTCTGGCCTGGTCTGGCTGCGACACCCTGCCGCAGGAAGGCATCAGCTGGGCTGCTCTCATCATCATATTCAAAAAGGCAGGCTTGTTTTCAGTCCTTAGTCCTGTTTCTCTCCTAGACCTACATCTGGGCTCAGCATTTAACATGAATAACTGTCTATGTTCTCTGTTATCCTTTTTGTATGAAAACCGAATTAAAGTTCAATTGTTTAGGTGTTACTTTCCTTAACAGAATCACCAATGGAACCATTTTTGTCATGGTTTTGGTTCTGTTCAAGTTTTATCTCCAAGTTTTCATTGGTCTTATTCTCCATTTATTGTTCTAGTTATTTTTTATTGTATTTGAGTTCTTAGATATTTCTTGTTTGCTCTCGTATTAGTCTCCTTTTCACTAGATCCCTTCTTGCCTCTGTTCAGACCTGCTCCCAATCTGGTAATTAGTCTGGTCTTTGTTTCTCTCTCCCATATATTCTCCTACTGTTCCGTCACTCTTGGCTGGTTTGTCATCATTTCTTTGCCCGTCTCTTGTGAGTATTCCTGGTTCTCAGTTTTTGTGGATTTTGTGGATTGATGTTTTGGATATTTGCTTCTGTTTTACTTTTGTTGTTAAATCTCCAAGAAACCACTTCATCTTCAGTCTGCATTTGGGTCCTCCTGTTTAACCTCCACCCCACCTTGACAATTTTACTGTTTTTTTTAACAACATAGATAGTATGTATGAATCCATGCTTCTATGTTCCTTTATGTGCTTCTGTCTCCTTGAACTCCCAATTGACCTCAGCAGAGGGCTGATCATGCTAAGTCCGGCTTTTTCTGAGGTTCTGTCATGTTGTAAGGAAATTGTTTCTCTCCACTGTCACTGCAAGCATGCTCAGTGTGGGGAATTACAGCAGAATCAAAGACACAATGCAAGCATCTGCTGTTGCCTCAAGCTCATCCAGGAGATTTGGATACTTTAAAGTCAGTTATTTGATGTAATCAACTGGGTTTCCTTAGATAATACATTTTTAACCAGTCTGTCTGCATGATTTGATTGAAATGTTTCTGTAAAGTGCCTCAAGGTGACATGGGTTGTGAATTAGAGCTAAACCTAACAGGGAAACAGAAATAAACTCTAAAAGTAAGCAAAAACCAAAACTTCAAGACCACAGTAAAGTAGCAGTGAGTAATAGAAAACTAAAGCATGAAAGAAAATCAAAATCCTCAAATATCTCCAAATCATGACAGTTTGTTCAACTTCAAATAAACGATTTTTGACCATTACACCAAAAACAAATTTTTTACCGTAGAAAGAAAAAGAGAATTTGTATCCTACACATTTTCTTGACCTTTAACCAACTCAGTGGTGTAAGCAGATAGAAAATAACACCATAAATTCTAGGCTTGTAACACAAACCTGGATCATAAGTTTAACATAAACTTTAACAATCTGTGTCTGAATAACCTGCTAAAAACAAGCTTTTTCGTCATTAAGTGAAGTCAGGCAATAACCTCACTCAAGTAATTAATATTTCATAGTTAGTAAAAGTACTATGCAAAACTACCCCTAAGAGCTCTTTAAAGCGAAGTGTATCATATTTGATGCATGAGTTTTTGAGACCTCTGCATCATCAGTGTGATACTTTTGTTCTTGAAAACCCGTACGTACACAGTCAGACCCATGTAGTAAACACAAAATGTATAAAAGGTTGGACAGAAATGCCTAATGTATCAGAATTGATACAAATACATTATTTATTTTCCCTTACAGTATACAAAATATAAGTATTTTTATTTAATTTATCAGATTGTTCAATGCTAACTCTTATTTTAAAATTTTAATTTTCTGTCAATAATTTCATGGCCCAGGCTTTAAAGGGCAAAAATTAAGTTTTAGTCAAGAAGTTATTCAAGAACATGCAACCAGCTATACCTCTGTCTACATAACTGCATGATGAAAATGAGAAATTGTAAAAAACTTAAACTATTTCTTTTAAATAACAGTGAAGAGTTTTATTTTAAAGGACAAAAAAGATTCTGGTCTAATTACTCATTTCACATACCTGCTTAGCTTCGTCCAGTTCCCATTACTTGCCAATAGTATCCACCTGCGTTAGTCCACCTTCAGACCAGTCAACAGTGCCTGATTATTTCGAACCTTTGGTGAAATTTATTCTAGCGTTTCTGTGTTCTAATTACCTGATCCTCACCTGTTCTGCTTCTTAACCTCTGAGCCTGCCTGTTCCCATCTGATCTGTTTGCCTGACCTGTCTTCTGACTCCTGCCTGTTTGTGTACTGTACCTGGAACTGTGACCCGACTCTGTTCTGGATTTCCCCTCGGCATCTCATCGGATCTCTGATCTCCTGGATCTGACAACCAAGCATGTCACTGACATTGGCTTTGGCTTTGCCCTCTTGATTATCCTGCCTACGTTCTTCTGCTGATCTTCAGCATCTGGGACTCTCAGCCGGCCGGCTGGAACCATCCTCACCCTCTGGATTCGGACTGAATTATAAGACCAGAGGTTACTGCCTTAGACGAATTTCAAGGTATGATTTAACTTTTGAGCTATATATCAGAAAAAAATGAACTTTATATTGGGTGAGATTATGTAAAGTTGATTTGACAATGCTTTATCTGCAGCAAAACTTTTATTTAATATAAATCACTGACGAAAACAAAAAACATGCAGAGTAAAAAATAGCATCAATAATAAATCATATGAACTAATTTTAAAGGTATAGAAGTATAAATATAATAGAGTAAATAAATTGATAAAGATGATAAAGAAATGAAAAGGAATACATAAATAAGCGATTAAATAAATTATTCATACTCGGTTGGATGACTTGACAGGGAGGCTACAAGATGATGAAAGCTGTGATCTTTGGTCTGATCTGGTATAAACCAGATGCTGCACATTCTCTAAGTAGTACACTACTGCATTTACAAAAACAAGCGGCTGATCTTTCATCCTACACCTAGAGGTTCTAGCAGCCTGCCTCAGTTCGATGATCTCCCTTCATCTGATCCCTAATAGTGTCCCTAAAACAGCTGGCGCACAGGAAGCTCTGGAACTCTTTCCTCCTCCTGAGTAATTTTTTCTGAATCTTCAGCTGACTTTGCAATAAAAACTGTGATCTAGATCTAGAGCTGCTGCAACACCCATGATTGTTTATGCTTATTATAAGAAAAAGAGGGAACTTGCTTTATAAAGAAAATGTGCTAATATTTCAAAATATGCTTTTTTTCTTTTTTTGTAAAATCCCAAATAAAACCTTTGGGGCGTTTTTAAAGTGAATATGTGCAATTTAATGATATTTCTTATTTATTCATGACATACCTATATGTGCAATTAATGCTCGGTGCAGAGGGAGGGGCAGCAGCTGATGAGTTTCTTATGAGAACACATGGGGCATTATTAGGAGCGAGAGCGCAGCGCGCTGCAGGAGCCAGAGATGCGGCTGGACGCTACTCTGCTTCTCACAAGCAGAAATCATGACACAAATATTTCAAAAATGCATCAAAAATATATTTTTTGTACGTCTCTTATCTTCAAATGAGGCGGATCACCAGCCTGCACCTTGCACCCTGACTGGATCTATTCATGCGCGCCTATCCATTTTTTTCTTTCTTTTTTTTTCTTATTATCTCCAGCAGGTTTTAGCTGAAGGAGAGCGTTATTGATGGACTCCTGTGTTATCAGTGGAGCTGGATGGTGAATTTATCCCAGAATCCCGCCAGCATGGAGTCCCTTAACGCCAGCGGAATGGACGCCTTCACGGTGGTCCATCTGAATTCCTCCTGGAGCCTGGACAGCGGATATTCTCTAGCCGCAATTGCCAGCATCGCTGCTCTCGTAAGTTTCCTGATTCTTTTCACCGTAGTTGGGAATATTCTTGTGGTCATCGCCGTGTTAACGAGCAGGGCGCTAAAAGCCCCCCAGAACCTGTTCCTGGTGTCCTTGGCCACCGCGGACATCCTGGTCGCCACTTTGGTGATGCCCTTCTCTCTTGCCAATGAACTCATGGGCTACTGGTATTTCGGGAAAGTTTGGTGCGGCATCTATCTAGCTTTGGACGTGTTGTTCTGCACATCATCGATCGTGCACCTGTGCGCAATCAGCCTGGACCGGTACTGGTCCGTTACGCAGGCTGTGGAGTACAATCTAAAGCGCACTCCGAAGCGCATCAAGTGCATCATTCTGATTGTGTGGCTGATCTCAGCCTTCATCTCCTCCCCTCCGCTCATGTCTATTGACAGCAACAAGGACGCCAGCTCACAACCCCAGTGTGAGCTGAATGATGACACCTGGTACATCCTCTCCTCCAGCACTGCCTCTTTTTTTGCGCCCTGCTTAATTATGATCCTAGTGTATATTAGAATATACCAGGTAGCTAAAACCAGAACCAGAAGCCTATCGGGGAAGAAACCCAAACCAGATGGGGTCACACAAACTGAGAATGGACTTAGCAAGCAGTCTTCACCTTTCCATGATGAGAGGGAGAACGGCCACTGTCAGTGTCCTCCTACACCCAGCCAACACACAGTCACCATGGGTCCACTGACTGAGGAGGGTGATTTGGAGGAAAGCTCCTCCTCAGAGGGCAAAGGCCACAAACCCCAGAGGAGGGACTCCCAAAGAGTCCCCATGGACATCCAGAAGAAAAGCTCTCTCCCTATCCGCATCTCCGGGGTCAGCAACAAGTCAATGGACCTCTTTGCCTCCAGGAGGAAGTGTCGTCGGAGCTCATTTGCAAGGAAAAAGGTCTCCCAGGCACGAGAAAAGAGGTTTACGTTCGTCCTGGCTGTGGTTATGGGGGTTTTCGTAGTGTGCTGGTTCCCCTTTTTCTTCAGCTACAGCCTGTATGGGGTGTGTGGAGACTCATGCAAGATTCCTGATCCGCTTTTTAAGTTCTTCTTTTGGATCGGTTACTGCAACAGCTCCCTTAACCCAGCCATTTACACCATCTTTAACAGGGACTTTAGGCGTGCCTTCCAGAAGATCCTCTGCAAGTCGTGGAAGAAATCCTCCTAGGCCTAAAAGGAAGATTTAATGAATTGTTTTCGCCATTTGTTTCATTATTAATTCCATTGTCCTGTTGTTTCTGTCATGAAAGTGCACACCCTTAACCAGCTGCTGGGGCAACATCGTGTATATTTTCATCCCTAGGCTTTTTACAGACCTTCCTGATCTGATTATTGAGTGAGACTGTCCTTTATGTCTGAGCTATAATGACGTTAAGGGATATTTTCAGTAAAAATGAAACAAACAACATAAAAATAAAACATGAAATATCCCATTATTTGGCAGCTAAAATGTAACAAAACAAATACTTTCTTTTGCAGTTTACAATTTTTTCTTTGTGTTGCTGTCCTGTTAAATTATACGAAAATGTATTTAAAACTCTAGTGAAGGATCGCACAATGAGATCATCAAATAAATAACAGGTAGACATTTTGGTTTTTACATCTCATAAATAGCTGTTACTCTTGTAGTTAAATATATTGCAAAAAAAGCAACAGGTTGTACTGTGTCAGATTTTGCTTGCAAACAATCCCAGATTCCTTTGGAGGCACCTTTTAAGATCACATATTGCCATATAACAACCCGTTTGGTCTATCTTTTGAAAATGTCACAAAAAGCTAGCTTCACAGGTGTAAAACTTTAGCTGTAAAGTTTGAAGTTTATATTTCCGTTTATATCACTTTTTGTACAGTAAAGGATGTATTTTGTGCAAAGAAATGCTGAACCTTATCAATTAAGCTATACTGAACACATAATAGCTCAGATAAATGTTAAACAAAAATCACAACAAATATAATGTAATTATAAGATAATATAATTTCTAGTTTTTATTAAATATAAATTATTTGAGGAAAAACTGGAGTTGAAAAGACTGGTTTACATTTGTGTGGTTCTGTCAGTATGTTCTTAGCTGTCAATATCTTACCTGCAGTGGAAAACTCCCTTTCAGTTCTCTGTTAGTGTGAATCCAGACAAACTGGTTGCAGAAGCTGTGATCTTCTAAGCGGGCTTATATCTTCTTAAAACATATCCAATCTAAAAAATGTCCACGCAGTTTATGTGGGTGCTGTGTTATGTTTATTTACGCTAAAGCAAATAATGATTTACATGTAGAAAATGGATATAAAACTAAAGGCTTTTCTGATTGTTACACTGCAGTACTTTAATATCCCATGCTTGTACTTTACATGTTTTGAATGTCACAGAAGAAAATAATTTACTATCATTTATGTCACACCACCTTCATCCTCCACAGCCAAAGACAATAAGACTTGTTTTAAGTATAAAACCAAACACACAGAGACATAGTGGGTTAAAGGTTCATAAAACAATATTTATGCAAGCTCCAGATAATGGGAAATTGAACTAAATGAAGAACACTCAAGAGCTGTCTACTGCAGGTAGTAGGCTGGCAGTTAACCTTGTGTCCAATAACAAGTTTCAGTGAAGTTAAGAACAATTATCAAGGGAAAAATGATTTAACATGATTTGTTGCAATATCATCAGAGTAACAAAGTACAAATACTTTGTTATCTTACTTAAGTAGAAAATGTGTCTATCTATACTATACTTGAGTAACTACTCCTTCAATTTAAAAAATAAAGGCATCAGTTTTGTTTTATTTAAGCTCATATTCCTCATGGCTTGTTGGTAGTTAGAAAAAATATATATCGAAATAATTATTTCAATCCATACAATTAAATTATATGTGGTTGAACTTGGTACTGCATAGGGCTGAAACAATTTATCTCGGGATTAATTGATTATTGAAATAATTGTCAACTAATTTAGTAATCGATTCATTGTTAACTGGAGTGTAGAGACTTTAAAACGTGCCTTTAGCTGATAGAGCGACCCACTTAGAGCAGTAATTATACCAAAATTGTAAAAATAAAATATGTAAACATTTTGCACTTAACATAAAAAATCTTTCTTGTCTGTCAGTATGCTCTATCAAGAACTCTTCAAGTGGAAAAGTTTTAGTTTTACCTGGTTTAATTTCACAAAAAGTCTTCTTTAAGGAACGTTTTGCCGTCTGATTTTTAATTGATTAATCAAAAAATAATTGACAGATTATCAGTTTGCATAATAATTGTCAGTGCAGCCCTAGTACTGCACCAACTTATTTTAAACCACATAATAAAATACATAGTTTTTCAAGATGCTGCAAAGTTAAATTTGACACTGTTGCCATTACTGATAAAGCTAAGAAAATGAAATGTTCCTTTAATAGTGTAGCGCAGTAGTCACTATACGGCTTAAGGGTTTTAAAGGTTTTTCCCTAACCTTAAGATTTTTTCCTGCATTACTTTTTCTTTTATATTTTAAGTAGTATAAAAGTAAAAACTTCGGTTTAAAACTGGATACTTTTTCCTCCTCTTTGATTCTTTAGGTAATAGCCCAAAATGGAATAATTTATCAAATAAAACAATGAAAAATCTTTCCTCTATAATCACAATCGTGAGGAAACTTTATTTCAAATTAAATGCAACATCCTAATCTGTTTTCATTGCTATTATTACTAAATTTTTCTTTATCTTTTGAGTTTTGGCTATTGAAAGTTCAAAATAATGCTGATTATTTGTCAACCTAATAAAAAGATAAGCTTCTAAGGATTTGCATGTAAAAAAAAAAACACATTCAAAGTTGATAACCTGCACATAGCTCATCCACTAACTAGGTGCACATGAATTTCCATTTCCAAAATGAACGAAACAGCTGTCCGAATAAATCGTACTTATTTGCAATCAATAATAGGCAGGAGATATGCAGATCATCAGAATGAGCAAAATACTTGGAGGATGATATGTAATTCCTTATCACCCACAATACAGTTCACCAAACTTAAAAGAGATTACGGCTGCAGTTTCTGCATCTATATTTAGTACGTCTGAGGGTCGGATGCAAAATCACACAAAAATGTCTGTAATCGTTGTTGCAAGAAGAAAGCAAAGGTACAATGACAGACAAGAGAGAGAGAAAATATTCCATGAGCAAGTTAAAAAATTTGGACTGTCAGAAATCAAAATGAGAGGTAACTATTGACCAATGTTATTTTTGGGGAAAATTTGATGCCACACTGGATTCTTCTTAAATCCGGTTGGACCTCTTTTGAGCAACTATTGTGGTGTCACCCAGCAACGTTTCTGTGGTGTGCTGTGCAGCAGTGCAGGATGCAGTTTAGCGGTGTGGGTGTCTGTTCCTACTTTTAATAACAATTATCCTTTTAAGTGGTACCTATTTGGAACAGAAATCATCATTTATGTAACTTACTCCGCTACAGAAGAGTATGAAAGTGCTGATATTCTGCAGAGGGCTGAAATTCTTTTCCATGGAATTCAGAAGTATCATGGCTTATTAAACTACAGTATATGATGAAATAAAAACCTTTGTATGTAGCTATCTTAGCACCATTATTAGCACCTATTATACTTAAAATGCTCATTCTGCCGCAGCTATTTACACCTAATTTTCTTTTTAATTAAGGTATACTATAGAAATAATGGCCATTCCTAAGAGAAAAAAATGTCTTCTGTTTTGTCTTTTACTGTCTTTTTATGGAGAACTTTCATTGGAAAACCTAGTTTTTTTTCCAAGCCCACTGAAACACAAAAACCCCCCACAGATTCTCCATTAGTTAAAAAAGGGTTTTTATGCATCTAGCGTAAGGTTTTTTTTTTACTCAAGTTTCTGACTGACATTGCTTAAGTTATCTGTTGAGAAAATTCAAATAATCTAGATACCAGAGGCTATTACCATGCTTTTGCTTCTAAATAATTTTAGAGGCAGTAGATTGTGATAACTTCTTTCATTTCACATGGATAGAGAACTTAATTTCTCCTCTCCTCTGTCGAGTTTCAGAAAGTTTGTTGGTTCCAGTAGCACAAGCAAAGTCTTGGTATGCCCCGAGTTTGAACCTGTTTTCCATTGCACATGCAATCTTGGTCGTCCAGGGTTTTATGTTTGTTTTTGTGTATTCATATAAATATTATATAATTTGAAGGGCAAGATAACAAGATGACAGCTAAAAAGAATTTAATCACATGTTGGTCACTGGGCATCAATTGAGGTATTTTTGCTCTATTGCTTTGTGCATGTACAGTACAGTATTTACACAGGCGATTTGCCATTGTCAGTGTAAGTACAGTATATAACAGTCAAATCAAAAAGTTCAACACTCAACTTTCATCTAAATTATGATTTCATTAACAGAATTATAGTATTGTCTAGGAACATTTTTTTTAAAACAATATTCAATTAATATAAATAGGTTACTCCTTATATTTTAAGAATTATTCTCAAATTATATTATGCGTTTTATTATATTTATTTTACAGGATATATTTAATATCTTTACGAAAAATGATGGAAACAATTCTTTCATGAGTCTAACTTAAAGCAATTTAGTAGTGATCTGGAATTATTTCTGCTTGTGTGTGGAAATAAGGTAATAGGACTAATATTGCCTCTTGGACAAAAGCACAGTGACAATACTCAGTGAGTTCAAGCTGCTAGCGGCAGCTTGAAATTGTGACTTGGACTGTAAAAATAATAAATATCTCACACTATTTTGCACCAAACTTCTTCAATGAAATCGAATGAAGACGTTTAGTTAAAGCTGTAAGTTTGTGTAGAATGAATGAAGAATGACTAAGTACACTGACGTTTTTACAAATTATCCCACTGTTTGTTTTTATGCGGAATTGATCTTTGACCAGGATTTGCATCCAAAATGTTGAAAATAACCATCTCTGATCTAAACAGTATTTGCTTCAACACTTTGCATCCTTGCTTTAATATCGGCATTTTAATTTTTAATGATCGCCTCCAAAACTGTGATGGCAAAGATTGAGGCTTTAAGTATTTCCAAGGTAATACATAACCCTGAAAAAATTACAACGTAAACACAAAAAATTAGTCTCTCTAACAGTAAAATCCGTTTTATGTTTAACTTTAAGAGGAATTTGTGAGAGGTGTTGGGATTATATTTACAAATATATCTAAATACATTTTTGATGATGTGCAATCAAGTTGCTAATTTTCACAATGATCCTTAACTGCTCAGAAATGTGCATTTTCTTTGCTGTTATTTAATTTATTTAAAAACTACCTCTATTTGTTTGTGCTGCTGGTTTTGTATTTTGAAAAGTGCAGTATACATCCTTCTTCTGCTTAACCTGTTTGCTGTTGTGCAAAAATAAAAATAAAAAAGCATTGATGTCACCTGGTGACGTGATGTTGAAACATGAAAAGCAAAGGTGAATAAATTCCTTGA